ACGGGAGTCGGCTAGGCATCTCCTTTCGAGACCCGAGTCAATGAGCCATCCCCCCAGAGTCGAATCCTGCCCAAACTGATCTTCCAATGAGGGACCAAAGGAGGGAGCCAACACCAATACTGGCCCTCACTGCTCTCAACACCTCTCTCATTGATGCCCTCTATATGGTCCAGAAGGAGAGGTACCTTAACACAACTCCTCCCAAGATGAGGTCAGACCATCGAAATCTAAATACCCAACAATATTATCAGTATTATCGAGAGCATGGTCGCCTCACTAATGACTATTGAGTCCTCTAGAGAGACATCAAGGATTTGATCCAGAGAGGATAGTGAGATAGGAGAGAAGCCGTTGCTGGGGAAGCCCATAGGAGGTCCCATTCTTGGTTGCCTCGTCCCCAGTCGTAGCCTAATAGTCGACCTCCTAAACCCAGCCATAAAGAGGTCATCAATACTATCAGTTACAGTCCCACCGCTGGAGGATCATCCAACAATGCTCGAAAGAGATATGTTAAATGAGCACTGAGAGTAGATATGTGCAGCAAGAAACCCAGAGCGGAAGAGCCCATTTCCTTCAATGATGCGGACCTGGAGGGTGTAGAGATGCCTCATGATGACCCTATTGTCATCACAACTAGGATTGACAGCTTTAATGTAAAGAGGATCATGGTCGATACAAGAAACTCGGTGTTATCTTGTATATCGACACCTTCAACAAGATGGGCATAGACTAATCTAGACTGCAACCTTGTCAGGGCCCACTCATTGGATTCACTGGGCACTCCCTCCTACCAGAAGAAATGATCATACTCCTCCTGATGGTCGGCGAATTCCCCCATCAATCCACAGTCCAAGTCCAATTTTTGGTAATAGATATCAAATCGGCCCATAATGTTATATTGGGTAGGACTATCCTTCACCTCTTGCGGGACATTTCCTCTACATATTACTAGATGTTAAAGTTCCTGACTCCCGTAGCAGTCGAAGTGGCTAGAAGAGACCAACAGGAGGCCAGATCGTGCTATCTGCTCTCTACCAAGGGGAAGGGGGTGCAAGAGACTACCCCATCAGGAAAACTTACTTTCAGATAGAGAGAGCGGTGGAAAGGGAGAGGACGACTCCCATAGAAGAGCTTCAGGAGATACCGATCGATCAAGAAGGAATGAAGAAGACTAAGATCAGGTCCAGCCTTACAAAGCCCCAACAAAGAGCTATGATTGCATTCCTATTGGCGAGCACCGACGTGTTTGCCTGGGAGCCAAAGGATATGCTAGGGATTCTACCTAAGGTGATGTGTCATGAGCTCACCATCAACCGGCATATCAAGCCGGTTCGATAGAAAAAAAAGACATTTCGGTCCTGAAAGGCAGAAGACAACTGCTGATGAAGTCGACCGACTCCTAAGAGTCGGTTTCATTCGGGAAGTCTAATACTCTGTGTGGCTATCCAATGTGGTATTGGTCAGGAAGGCCCACAACAAATGGAGGATGTGTGT